CCCCTGGTGTCAAAATTGGCCCTGCCCGGGGGCATTGATTCTCATTATGTACACATAGTAAAAACAGAAAATAAAACAAATGTTTTCTGAATGGGAGAAAGCTACAGCTTAGATATTTGACTTGAAATGTTGTTTGGTGGACCTGTATCAAGATTGTTTTGAATTGAACCCTTGGGTCCAAAATTTTGCCTTGCCCAAGGGGACAGTGACCTACTTTCTTGTCCTTTGATGTACAGCAATGAAATTTTGACCATGTGCACAGTTTTAGTTGTAAAATTGAACTTTGATATCAGGTGACCTAGATTTTGATGATGTGACCTACCTTCTTGTCCTTTGATGTACAGCTATGAAATTTGAACCATGTGCACAGATTAATATGTAAAGTGAACTTTGATTTCAGCTGACCTAGATTTTGACAAAGTGTCTTACTGTGTTGTCCTTTGATGTCGTCATGAAATTTAGGCTGTGTGAAATATGACCTTCACCACCAAATTTACTAGACTCGAGTGCATTGATATATTCCTACTCTGATCTTTTATTGAGTTAACAACAGATTTAACCACTAATCTGATAATAAGAATTAGATTATTTATAAGGTCAGGGATCTATGCATTATGACAATCTTCAAAATTGTATAGAAACAAAACAAAATCTGTTCCTACACTACTATTTAGTATTGTATTAATGCGGTGGCATAGCATTTTTCTCAAATGCAATCTTGTTTTTAATCTAAAGCATAAAAGAAAACAACCTAAAGTATATTAGAATGGGTCTTTTATTTTACAAACTAGGTAATAAAATCTAGAGGACTTATGTTTGAATGTCATCTTAATATCAGCAGTAAAACCCGTAACGTTTCCGATTTGCTGGGCTATAAAATGTTTAACACAACATTTATAAGGTCCTGTGCCGTGTAGACTGTTCATGTGGTCAATATTTGAGACCTATCCGTGAATGAAATGTTTCCCACATTTATCACAAACAATATCCGAGATGGAACCTTCCATATCTGCAAAATATGAAAAATGACAACTGTAATTTTACTAATAAAAACAGAAATACAAAACCTCCTTCTAATATTTTAGACTTTTGTATCAAAACGCGACCTAATTGAATGTTTTGGGTTTGGTAGGCCTTACGCTAAGTTATTGATGTCCTTGGCAATTTATGATTTTACAAGCCATGCCTTTTTGAAATTTATTTATCATATTATTGTAACCTATAAGCAGATGAAGTGTTGTTCGTCCCATATAATTTATGCCCCAAGACGATTCGTCAATTTAGCTGTATTAATTTTATATCTTAGTGATAGTAAAATTAAATGTGAATTAGTTTGAAAAATACATAAAATCCATTGCATTTTCAAAATAAATATTGATTAATCTGTTTGTGGTTAAATAATAAAGTTGAGTGTTTAATTTTAAGTTTAATTGCCGTGAATATATAGGGAATAATAAGTTTATTTTATATTCTAGATCCTGGTCCTGGCTGAAATTTAAAGTATTACAGCTGTAGTTTCTTTACCATAAATTTAACATGGAAAGGACTGTTCTTGGGAAAATGCTGACGTAACTGATGGGAGCAGTTTTTCTTACCAATCATAGGTCAGACTTAACCCTTTCCCCCATGAGCATATTGTGAAAAATGGCCATTTTCACTGAAAAGCCTCCTCTTACAAGTTCAAACTGCTATGAAACTATGAAAAATGCTTCAATACTAATCAAACTTGGCACAAATGTTGACTGGACCATTGCTTTTGTAACGACATGCTCAGTCTTAAATTTCCTGTTACCATGGCAACGAGGGGTAAATGGCTAACAAAAAATGATGAAAAACTTTTGAATCACCCAAAATCTAGTTTTTACATGTAAACATGAGGTCTTTTACCTAAATTTGGTGAAAAATTGTTGTTTTGTAACATTTATAATTTTTTAAGTTAACCCTTTCACCCATGAGCATATTGTGAAAAATGGCCATTTTCACTGAAAAGCCTCCTCTTTCAAGTTAAATTTCCTGTTACCATGGCAACGAGGGGACATCTCAAAATTGCCAAAAATCACTATTTTGCCTCGATTTTTCCATCAAAATTTACTTCAAAGTGCTGCAACTTCTCAAGGGATTGAGATAGAGTCAAAGGCTTTTCAGCGTTGGTTACACCTTACCTTATGATCGACCTGGGGTCATTTAAAGCCTCTCACAAGTCCAAACCTTTCTTTGCGATGAGGGGGACTCCGCCCCCCCCCCCTTCAAACCCCCCAAAAAGAAGGGGGCATATCCCCATTCTGGCAACCCCCTAAAGTATCTTTTGGACAGGGGGCGGCGCCGAAAAAGTGCTCACTTTTTTTAACAACATTTCTCAAACGAAAACATGTGTTTGGGGGAAAAATAGGACATTTTCTCACTATTTCAGGCCTGAAAAAGGGGAGGGGGAGGTCGAAAGTGCGTTGTTTCGCGTATATATGAGGTTAAGGGTTAAATAGCTTCTTTTTAAAAAGTTTTTGTTGTTTTTGTACATAATTTACTGTCAATATGAAACTTCAGCTGTATCTTAATTTCTATATGCTGTTCTATTATGTAAATCTTAGAAGATAAGCATTTTAAGATAAAACAAATCACTAAGTTGATTAATTATATATAATTTGAGATTGACCAAGTCAATTTTAACATGTAACTTCTTATTTTATTTGCAGAAGCAAACACCTTAATGACACACTTTAGCCTAGAAGAAGAAATAGTGGTAGATTGGAACAGATTGTAGCCTAATTGTTAAACTAAAAGGACTTCTTAAATCGTTTGAATTTTAGCTACACTTGAACTGTAGTTTTGAAATAAAATAGCTGAAGTATTTAATAGTGTCTTGATTTTTTTTTGTTAAACTCTGTTACGTACAGTACTTTGCTTTATATTTATATTAAAGTATGTTGAAATGACATTGAAACTTCAACGTTGTGCCAACGTTGAACTTCAACATTTTTTTAAACTTTCAAATTCGAACATAAATCTAACGTTATTTCAACGTTGAAATCTGACCATACTTCAACGTTGTTCACCGTTGATGTGCCTGCTGGGTTACTTCTATCAAGGACCTATTTGCGGTATTTTTAATATTATTCAAAATTCTATGAAAGTTTGATGCTAAATGCATCAATCATGATTTTTTTCAATCAATATCTAGGCTATAACCTGCATAGATATTGCCTGCACATAAACTATTGCGTGGGAGTTATCAACAATAAAAGTATGCGTGGAAGTTACCAAAATCATTTTTCTCTCGTGTAATGGAATAGAAAATGACCTGTCAACATTTAACATGCCTAATATTTACATTTTCAAATAAAGAAATTCTATGAACATTTTCTCTTTGCTAACTCGACGTAGTTTAATCAAATTCATAAAAAATACAAATTTTGCGTGAATGTTACCCGAAATATAATTGTTTACATTGAAAATTTCTGTTGACTTTTTGAGTGTTTGTAAAAGCTATGAGCACAGGGGTGGAAAATAAGGTATAGGCGGCAACAATTCTTTATTCTGCGTAGGCTGCAACAGGTCTCGTATGTAAGTAAAAGGGATATAATAAAGAATTACCTGAAAAACACATGTGAAGCGAGGTTTTTAGGCCGCCATATTGTCTGTACGCGTAACCGTAAAAGTCACGTGATTCCCTACCGTGTGTAGAGCATGTTCAAAATTTGACCATGAATCAGTCAATCGTATTACATCTTTACTAAAAAAAATTATTCAATGTACTGGTCCATTTTAGTCCATATTTTTACTTTATCATTAATTCGTAATATTAATTTGTAATAAACAGTCTTGGATGGTAAATATTCCTTATTTTGTTGCGGTGTAACATAACTGTAACATAAACTGTAAAAGACGTTAAGAAGCATTGCTGATCTCTACCTGTCTGTAAATGAATTATTGCAGCGTAATGAGACTATGGTGTTCGTGACAAATTGATAACAAACCATCATGTATTCTTAACCTAACATGGTGTAACTGTAATAATATGTATGATACTCCTTCGGTTTTCCTAACGGGCTTTCTTGGATAACCTACCAGTAGTTACCAACTTCTTTAAGAGTGACCAACATTAAGCTCAATCCCGCATGATTTCTGAATAGCCTTGTCCGAGTATAGAACCAAGTAGCGACCCCTTGATTACAAATCCCATGCCCTCCCTTATTAAGCTAAGCTGGTGAACTATGAATGTGTGACCGAAGCATAAAGCTTTAAGTGTTTAATAAAAAGTTCTGATTTTTTATTGATTAATCATTTAAAATTTATGATTTACTTATAGGATTCAGGGAACCATGAATTTATTTGTTAGTTTCTTAACCATAAACTTCTATAACCTCTTATCATAAAAAAACATGTGCTCTTCTGTTCATTCAAAACACAACTAGCTTAAATACTCCATGGTGATGTCAGTATAATGTATAAATAGGAGGGTTACTTAGTTACATCACAAGTATAACTGTTTTTGCATTAATTTTGGACAACCATTTTCTAAACGTATATTAAGTTGTTATTATATATGAAGTTGATAAAGTGATATTCTCTGCTATGTTTTTTGTAAATTTTCTACTTTCTATGTTTCTCTAGTATATGATGCATATTTTTATGAACTTAAAAATATCAGTTGATTATTATCTAAGATATACAACGTCATACTTGCAACTTTAATTGCTTAAGATAGTATTTACAATTAAAGTGTGTTTTTCTTAAGATTCAGTTATATTATGTGCATGTATAAAATGCCTAAAAGCAAATAGAAGATAAATAGATATTCAATATATTTTCAAGGAATATTTTCTAAAATAACTTAATCTTTTTGTTTTAGAATTGTTTAGATATTATTCAATGTAAAAGTATATGATAAAAGCAACATTAAATCTTCCTTATATATTTATTTTCTCTAACTTCTAAATTGTTATAAGTGTTTTAAAGTGAAGCACGTTAAGTTTGTGTTTTCAAGATTTTACTTTGTATTATAGAGTGACATAGAGAAACTTGAAGGGCTGCCAGTAGCACCTTTTATGGACAGGGAGAAGGTGACAAAGTCTTCCTCGCAGATCGGCTTCATCAAATATGTACTGCTGCCATTGTTCGAGGCCCTAGGGACGTTACTTCCAGTCATTGAGGTTTGAATCTGTTATGTTCACTATTAGTTATGTACCTGTTTGTGCTGAACTTTGGTATATTACTGTAAATTACTGGAGATTCAATATTGTTTCTTAAAAAGATTATACTTATTCAATTAAGCATCAATACAAGAGAAAAAAAAATAAGCCAAAATGAAGGATACATGATTATTTGAAGCCGAACAAATATATCGTTTGACTTAAATTGGTTTGAGGACTAACAAGAAATTGGAACATTAATATAAACAAGGATCCTACTTAAGGTAGTGCTTTGCACCAACTACTGTACTTATGTCTTTTTTACAGGGCAGGGCTGGGGGTATCAATAAGTCTGTTTAAACATTCAACAGGAATAAGTCAGGAAATGAAAGGATATATAAAATTATATACTGTACAAAAAGGAACATGTTCTGATAATGCTAGTATAAATGAAGAAACACAAATCTAGAAAATAATACAAAATGTATGTAGATATGTACAGTATACATGGCTTTATAAATGATAAGAAAAATGATTTTGGCTTCTGAAATGCATACACCAAATATGAATAATGATAGTATAACTGTTATATCTGAAGAAGACACAAGATAACATTTAGCACTCCCTAACAGTTTGATCTATGAGTTTGGTAAACATTTTCTTTATCTGGTAAACCAGTTAACCTTTAGGATGCTAGTGGAAAATTAACATATGCTTAGTATGCGACCAGTACAGACAAAGATCTGCAAGCTTATTTGTGCTATTTGGTCATGGTCTGCACTGTTCACTTCTCAATCAGTACATACTTTGACAATATTCCTAAAAATGAAGAATGGATATGCCCAGTTTGAAAGACAGACAAGTTCATTTAGGATATTTAGTGGGATAAAGGTTAAAGAAAAAGTTATGTACGAGGGTTGTTCGGAAAGTTTTGAGACTGGGTCAATATTTAGCGTTGGAAAAGATAAAATCAAACAAGAGTTTACTATGTATTACTTTAATACCTCATCTATTATAGTGTAAAATTTCATAACAATAGCTTCATGTATACAAAAGCTACAAAGCGTTAGGCACAGACACTACCGGTGACCCGGCGCACGCAACGACGTTATCCGACGTTGCCGTTATTTCCAGAGTTTAACGTCACCGTAGAAAAGTCAACTGCTACTCCTTTTCAAAGTATCTTCCTTCACAACGTACACATTTCTCATGCCTCGTAACCCACTTGGCGAATACATTTCTATACCAGTCAGATTTAAATGTTGCAATAATGCTCATAACTCTAGAGCGCAACTTCTCTTACTGTTATGCGACGGTCGCACTGAAGCGCGTTTCTTGCAAGTGTCAGTTTATCGTCGATGACGGATGGGCGACCGCTCCTTTCCTTGTCTTTTGTTGACTTTCTGCCATCCCGAAACTCTTTATGCCATCTAAATACCAATGGTCGACTAACAGTACGTCCGTTGTTTGCCTGTTCTAGAAGTTGCTTAGTTTCTGTTGGCGTTTTCCCAAGATTAACGCAAAACTTAATAAAAACACGCTGTTCCTCTTTTGACGGTGTTTCCATAGTCGTTGTCTTGTCGCGCACGTATTGCTATAATGATCTGCGGTAACGGCTTAAACAACTAGCGGAAATGACGTCCTTAAGTTGGAAGTGACGTCATAAAATTTTCGTGACGTTTGGCGCAATTTTAGGGGCTCTTTTTATTCAGTAAGAAAACTTATAACAAGAAAATAGTCCGAGCGCCAGGATGCGTAGACAGGTGTTGCTATGGAAACGATTATATGCCGTATAGTAACGTTACAACGTTTTAAAGACATAACTCGGATAAATAACATATTAAGCTATAATTTGTATTAAATAATATTCGCAGCTATAATTAGAAACAGAGAAAATCATATTGTCTCAAAACTTTCCAAACAACCCTCGTATACCAGCCGTTCATTCAAAATGTTTGCTACACCGAAGACATAATCATTAACCTGAAAGAATCACCTAACATGGAATTTCTTTTTATTCAAACTGGTTGTTGACAACTATTATTCAATACACGTATATATATAGTATTATGATTAATAAATTATTATAATTTCATGTTTTACAGAAAGATATCATTGAGCCAGTAAGAAATGCATTAGACTATTATACTCAGATGCAGAAAGCATTAGAGGAAGAAAAGGAGAAAAACTCATCCAATGAAAAATCAAAACAGAATGGACTGACCAATAAAATGAATGGAGACATCAAAGTATGACCTTGGCCTTAGTAGGATTTCTCATCCAATTGTCAAAATTGTTTCATGTGTTAGACTTTATATGTCAGCCAATCACTGACAAGGATGCATATAGGTGACAACCAATCATAGACAAGGAGACATACAGTGTGTTACCGGTAATCTCCACTAGCTCGCATCACTACAACAATGTTCTGTTTAGGAGATTGATATTAAAGTTAAGACTATTGTTGTACTAGTGCTATATTGGATGGTTTAAGTTTAGATGCTCATAGATTAACTACAAACTGAAAAAAAAAGAATATAAGTGATGAACCAAGCCCTGTTCTATGATAAATTTAAAAAAATAATTAAATATTCATTTCAATTTTCGATGTAATCATAGAAAGACATATTATTAAATAGATTGAAATATGTTGAGGTTCACAAGCTTGTCGGACAAATTGTTTTGATAATCTACCTTACATTCATTGTTAATTAACATAACATCTTATAGGGAGTTGTTATAATGGAGGTTTATTATAAAAATATATTGATAATTCAAGAGAATGGACTCAAAGCAATACTAATGCATACATGTCATATTTACAGTTCATTAACATCTCTTTATCAACAATAGATTAAACTTAATACAGTGTTTAAGACATTAATGTTTAACATACATGATAGAACTTAATATTTCAAGTTCTCAAGATATGTTAAATTATTTTTAGTTTGACATGTTTTTATAGGTTGTTCACATTCAGCAGTGTTGTTTTGTTTTTATTATAAGGTTCGAGCTACAAGATAGAATTGATGGTGCCAAATTGTATTATATAGTTAAGCTTTCACCACCTCTTCCTTTTATTTATCATTCACATTGATTAATAGTAATGATGCTCTTTAAAAAAAACTGCACCATCCCTAATATAGAAGATTTCACATCATTTCTTATATCATGTCAATGATAAAGGGAGACAATCAGAACCGATCTGAACAAGTCATTTTGCCTGTATGAATATCAGGCATTCTTTGATTTCAATTTAGCAGATTTAGAGCTGTAATTGAGGAGTCAAATGTTTGTTTCCTTAAACTTTACTGACTTAGACCACACATTCATGTTTTTTGTTACAATTTGTTTTTTTCATTTTTTTTTAAATTGAGTGCATTGGGATTTTATATCCAGGAGCCAGTAATCAAGATTTATGTATATGATGAACAATAATATACAAGATAACATGTATAACAAAATGATAGATAGTAGGTAAAACATAGAAATGTTTAGGAACAAGATATCTTTTGCTTAAATGTTAATTTAAATATCATGATAAATAGTAAAATATTGAGTAAAATAAAAAATACTTTATTTTTGTATTTATAAACAGAGATATAGTAGATTATGAAAAGCAGCTTCATTAAATAATACATTTGTTAGCTGGTATTGACTGTTTGCAAATACCAACTGTTTTCTTGTTTTTAAAATATTTTCTGGTTTTACTGTCTTCTTCATAAGATTATTGTCTGCCTTTTCAACTGTTTGCTGGTATAAACTGTTTGCTAGTATAAACTGTCTTCTGGTATAAACTGTTTGCTGGTATAAACTGTTTGCTGGTATAAACTGTCTTCTGGTATAAACTGTCTTCTGGTATAAACTGTGCTGGTATAGACTGTCTAATGGTATACTGTTGGCTGTATAAACTGTTGACTGGTATAGATTGTCTAATGGTATAAACTGTTTGCTGGTATGAACTGTATAATGGTATAAACTGTTTATTTGTATAAACTGTCTAATGGTAAAGCCTGTTTGCTGGTATGAACTGCCTAATGGTATAGACTGTTTGATGGCATGGACTGTCAAATGACTGAATGTTTACTGGTATAGACTTTTTGCTGGTATAAATTGTTTGCTGGTAAAGAGTGTTTTCTGGTATAAACTTTTCTCTAATATAGACTTTTTGCTGGTATAAACTGTTTGCTGGTATAAACTGTTTTCTGGTATAAACTGTTTTCTTTCATAAACTGTTTGCTGGTATAAACAGTTTTCTTTCATAAACTGTTTGCTGGTATAAACTGTTGGCTGGTTACATGGTATAAACTGACTGCTGGTATAAACTTTTTGCAGGTATAGACTGTTTGCAGGTATAGACTGTTTGCTGGTACAAAACTGTTTGCTGGTATAAAATGTTTGCTGGCATGAATGTTTGCTGGTAAAACCTATTTGCTGGTATAGACTGTTTGCTAGCATGAACTTTTTACTTGTATTTACATTTTTTTCTGTTTACTTGTACCAAATGAGAGCAACTGTTTTATGGTTTCTTAACTATTTGCTGAATTATACTGTCTGCTGGTATTGACTTTTTGCTGGTATATATTGTGTGCTGGTATGAACTGTTTACTGGCATAGACTACTTGGTTGTAATTTGACAGTTTGCTGGTATTTCAACAATTGCTAGGTATTGACTATTTAATGGTACCAAATTTGCTGGTATTGGGTCTTTACTGGTTATAACTGTCTGCTTGTATAGGTTATTAGCTGGTATATATACATTCTCCTTGTACATACTTACAACTTTGCTGGAATTTATTGTTTGCTTTTTTTGCTCATTATTGTATAATCTAAAGTTACATTGATGAAGTGAATGCTAAACAATGATTTTAATAGGTAATAAATAAGTCTTATAAAATCTTACAAGCAAATTCTTTACAGGAAATCAGCACATTAAATATGAAGTTATGTAGAAGAAAGAGAACCATCTGCTTGCATTTTGTTCAATGATTTAAGCAGCCACAAAAATTGAAACATAACTTAAAGTTTAACACTTTTCACTACTTTCATAATCCTTGCCGGTGCAATTAATAATCAATGTGTCTAAATATGAAATTATAATTATTATTTTGGAAATTTATTTTTAATGCTGTGCAATTTATTTGTTTAATTTTTGAATTTACACTATTGCATTGATAAAAAAGCTATAGATGTTGTTTTTTATACAAGAGATTAAACATATATAGGTCTGACAAATACTGGGTTTATGATATAGAGTTACATTTTGATATAATTTTAAAATATTTTTGTTTAACATGTTAATACAGTGCAATTTGTTATTTCATCATAATGCAATATTACAGAATGATAGACATCGTACTTTAGTTCATAGTATTACATGATCAAAGTTAATTTTCTTTTCTATTTTATCTGAACCCCACCTTGTAAGTTTAATTGATTTAGCAATTATAAAACATTGAACTCACCTGTTGGAGTTTATGACAAAACAAATACTTTACAACAAAAAAGGTACTTTGAAAATGTGTTGTAGAAACAACAGAGGTAGATACAAAAAAGTTTTTATCATCTTAGTTAACTGATGTGAAAATGATAGATTTTTGTTAAGAATATGGTGAGAACTGTTCTAAAATTCAGGTACACTGGTTAACTATGAACCTGGTTATCAATGAAGTAGCAGTTAGACAAACAGAGTCATTAGTAATAACAATAATTATCAAATCTTATTGTTCTTTAACTTTTTATTTTACAAAACTATACATTGTATAAGAGAACTTTAGTTTGAGAATATTCTTTCTATTTTAAATAGATATTTGTTTTATTATCAGGAAAATGTCATTCTTGACAATAGCTCTTGGGCGATACTCTAAATATTTTACAAAGTTAAAGTTAAAGTTTTGTTAAAATCTTTAATCAAATTACACCCTTCCAAGTATTTCATTTATAAAATCCCATATATATATTTTTTTTCTTACATATTTTGCATTCATTGTACCACATTTGATCCATTCTTTCTAGACATTTTTATATTTCATGACATTTTTGTTTTTTTACAATACTTTAGTAAAACAAAATAATGTTGCAATTTGTTAACTTTTAAAAACACTTGTAAATATTTTCCTTCAATCATTGTGTTATGATATTATGATACAGTAAAAACCCGCTTTACGACCACCCCGTTTTCGAGACCAACCCGCTAATACGAACGAATTTTCAAAGACCCGATTTTTTTATTCTTTATTTTAATGGTCGCTAACCCCGATTTTGAGACCACCCCGTTATTCCGTAATACGACCAGTAAATTCAGTCCCATTTCGTAAATTCTGTACATTTGGAAACCCATAAATACGACCGCGGGCACTTTCTCACCTTGATATTGACATGCATGTATATTGCTGAAATCTTTTTGACACTTAGTGTGCTGAAATCTTTTTGACACGTAGTGTAAACAACAGTTGTCCTAGTTTTACGTCATTTAACGACATCCAATTTACGGCAGAGGTCAAGGTTACTTTGAATCAAACCCGGAAATGATCAATAATATTGTCGATAATTACTGAATTTCATTCCTTTAATGAAATGACTGGAGGATTAAAACAACAAAATATTGAACAGAAAACTTTCAATTAGTTTTTTAGAGGTGTTGCTGCTATCATTATCTCTTTCGTTCCATAATTTTAAACAAACATAAACATGATACGATTAGGTTTTTGAAGTTGTTATCGGCGATGAAAACTGTGAAAATAATTAAAGATTAATTGGTCGATGTGCTTTGTAGTAAAATGGTGATTTAATTGAGTAAGTCACTTCATTCTTTTAACAAGAGTGTAAAAATATGTTTGTGTTTAAAAACATTCATAATACATTTTGTACCTCTAAAGAAGTTTAAAAATTTTAAAATTTTAAAAAGTAAAAGAAAAAAAATGAAAATGAAAAAATAATAGTGTGTGCTTAATATCTTCTAATTTGAAATAGGTTAGCCCAGAATTAAACATGTGTACAGTACATGGTATCCCCTAATATATTGCCTGATTTTCTGTTTGACCAAACTCATTAATGAGACCAACCCGCTATTAAGACCAGATTTGTAAAGTCCCTTCATTGGTCTCATTAGCGAGTTTTTACTGTATATATTTTTTTTTCAACAAATTATATTTGTTTTTCATATAAATTAACAGCGTTATAATTTGTTGATAGAGCTTAAATGGGCTTAAAAATGTCTTTGATAATCATAATAGATTTTTATGACTGTTTTAGAACAGGGTTTTTGAATGAGAAGAGATCCCCTGATTAGAATAAGTATTCTAGTATTGTTTATCACATAAACCGCGAAACAGGAGTGTAATAAAACTATTTAGAACAATATTACACTAGTGTAATGAGGTGATGTCATTTGCATAGTGTTAAAGCATGCTATTGTTAGTGTTACACTATTGACTATTTTTAACAGTTTACCATTCTTATTTTATATGTGATAAATAGAATATTATATTTGTGTTGATTTAATACTAAATATTGAACTCGTAGAAAAAAACATTATTATGCTCGCCAGAGACTCATATGATATAATTTTATTAAACTTGTTCAATAAATTCAGTATTAAACCTACACTCATTCAATATCCTCTATATCTCCTGACCTGCTGAAAACTTCATTATGAGCTGATTGGCATATTATTTACTGCCACATTTTTGGATACAACTTCCATCATGGGGAATAAATTATTTTTTCAAATGCCACAATAAATACATTATTTGCATTAAAACTATATTATATATATTGCACTATCTGCATTTGTAGGTTTTATGATATAATAAATTTACCTGTATGCATTATATTATGTGGGATATATGATGCTCTCATTTGATTGGGCAATTAATGTATTTGATGGTTACGGGAAACGGACAAAAGCCCTCCCGGACAAAAGCCCTCCCGTCAAAAACTGACAGGGCGGACAAAAGCCCTCTCGTGAAAATGACAGGGCGGACAAAAGCCCTCCCGTTAAAATAACAGGGCGACAAAAGCCCTCCCATGAAAATGACTGGGCGGACAAAAGCCCTCCCGGGAAATTAACAAGGCGGACAAAAGCCCTCCCGTAACAAAAATAAATATGTATGTTGAATACCTGCGTTTTCAATGCACACAATATATTAAAATTGTTACATATATTTCTTTTTGTTTTAAATTTGCCTAAGTATGCGTATGAGCTAGAACCACCTTTTATTCTGAATATACCTTCCTGAAATGTTCAAGGAGTTAACTTTGTACATGTATGTCATAAAAAACAGTCTCAGTACAAGGCACATTAAAAATGTCTTTAACTTTTATGTTAAATAATTTTAACATCTTCACTATTTATTACTCTATTAATATTAACTTCACATAGGAGTAATCCATCATATCAACGTGAATAAATATGCTTTACAGATTTTAGCACTTATTATTCAAATGCCTTTCAGGAATGTGCTCAAGCTCATACAAACACGGTTATGCCAATGGTAAAAAAAATCATGCTTTCAATTTTAATATGTTGAGTGCATTGAAAAGAAAATATAAACTATTCAACGTACAAATATGTATTTGCTGCGGGAGGGCTTTTGTCCGCCCTATTATTTTCACGGGAGGGCTTTTGTCCGCCAAGTCATTTTTACGGGAGGGCTTTTGTCCGCCCTGTCATTTTCACGGGAGGGCTTTTGTCCGCCTTGTCATTTTCACGGGAGGGCTTTTGTCCGCCTTGTCACTTTTTGACGGGAGGGCTTTTGTCCCGGAGGGCTTTTGTCCTACACTCGATGGTTACAGTCTGACAGCTGATTTTCATTAATTAATAATTCTATATTTAATTAAGTTTGTATTTTATTTAGTGCCCAGTTTTTTTTTACCATTGAGCTGTACTTTTGCCATATTGTGATATATACCGTGTATAAAGTATTTTGATTGGTATAGTTTATTAAAACAGCTTGTTGCTTTTGTTAAATTGATATGATTTGTTGAAATGTGTAATCAAGAGAAAAGTTTTCAAACTCTTCGTAATCAAACAGATATCATGTAGTTGTATGTTTTAAGACTTAATGGGTCACTAATATTTTTCTTTATTGCGACATGTTAATCAATATGGATGTGACTTTGATGTATAATTTTGAATTTTATATTTGTCTTGAATTTTAAGCTTTTCAACAACTTTAGAATATAAGTACATCAACCTAGCAAAACATTTTTTATTGTGTTAAGAAAAGAAACTGGTAATTAATTGTTGATTCTTGACTATTCACTTGGCCGGGTTGCAGAGCGAAAAAACGAATGGCACTGTTAATCATTTACAGATGAATGTTACAAAAAATTCTTCAGTTTTCACATGTGCAATAATTTAGGATGTTAAGTTTGATTTTCTTCATATAAAAGACTTTCATTTTTCAAAACTGAGGTTGTTTGATTAGCTGTGATATTGGATGCACTTGGGGCATAGTTATAAAGTGATATAAAGATATTTTAGTTAAATGTACATGTACTTTAATTTGAACGAGACTCTATGGAGTTTCCCTTTCATATTCCTTGTTTCTGCTGAAATTAATGCATATGCATGAAGGATACCTGAGGTCTTCCTCCAGCGGTAAAACTGGAAAAATCAGCCAATGACTTTTACTGTGCCATTTAAACTTAATTACCCCCCACCCTCCCCCTACAATCTCAACTAATCTTGCAAATATAAAGAAGAGAATTTAATATTAAACTTTTTATTGATTCTATTATAAACAGGAAAACATATTGTTTTAATTGGGAATGGTAAGAGTCCATAAAACTTTCTTGAGAGGGTGACACTATACAACTACAAGGTTTTTATTAACAAGGGTACTGTTCTAAGATCTGATCATATTATTGTTTGATAATCATAACATATAAAAGAAACTGAGACAATTCATTTTCCATGTGAAATAATCTTGCTTTTAACAATTTTTATTTTTTTATTAAATGTTCTAACATGATCTGATTTATTGTTAATACAATAATGATATTATTTCCTATTTATATTGTGTATTAAATACTATTATTTGTTTTATAGACCTAGTGTTAACAAATCTGCAATAAGCTTTTTCAACTTAAATTAAAAAATTACTTGTCATCAGACATTACTTCTTTTCTTTGAGCATTCTTCTGTAAACTTTAATTCCTTCAAGTCAGAATTGATTTTTTTTAAATCCTCCCTAGGAAAGAGTTCCATCACTATTGATCTCTTAAATGTTATTTGACGATTTTTAAATTTCAATTAGCACTTATTATATAAATGGCATTTATAGTTAAAGCTAGACGGATCCTTTGATCTCTTGTAACATGATGGCATGCTATACATTATGTTTATATAAATTGAATATTACTTCCCAGCCTGCTGGAAATCTGTTGTCACCAGTATAGCGCCAGATCAGTCTGTAGTCTGACCAGGCTCTATATATGTCACCTTAGTGCAGTAACAGGTTAACTCCTTATATAATTGCATGGGAGTTAACCTGTTACTGCACTAAGGTGACAATGTTGTTGGTAGCTCAATTGTTTATGTCAACACTGTAATCCCTAAATCTTAAAATAGACTGTTCAAATTTAAAGCTGATAAAGTTCATAATTAAAGACAGTCTCAAATTCAAAATTCAAAGCTGTGCAAAGCCATTTCTCAAATAAAGCACATTAAGGGTCAATAATTAGTTTCTGTAGAACAGATGTTAACACATGTTCTTTCTTAAAAGAAAGGAAGTGTCTCTATCAAACCTGATTCTGTAGCAATATTACCATGGTTACAACTCCATCTCTAAGCATGCATTGTTTCCTTCTTGAATAATACAATATATCTTTATTTCTCGCAAGACATGCACAATAAATACATGACTACATGAAGTAAA